GAGGCTAGGAGTTACCATTTGGTGAAATTAGTTGCCATGTTAGACTGATCAGTCTCTGCCGGTTTTAACCTATGTATTCATTAGGGGGTGGTCTTCCTTCTTGACAGCTCCTGTAAGACTTTCTGATTGCAGTTGTTCTGCCATATACCCTGTCTCATACCCTTTAGCTATCACCATTTACCTCCCTGTTTTCCTGTCTCAGCTTTAAGCAATCACTAGTTTATTTTCTTTCTCTACAGATTTCCCTATTTTGGACCTTCATATGAAAATAATCACATAGTCTTTGGGAAGACTACTAATTTTTGCCCAAACTGTCAATTTAAGAACGTTCAACCTATGGAGAGTTTTTATAATAATTTATTTGAGCCAAACAGGATACTCTTAGAGGAATGATATCAACAGACTGAGAAAATGATTTCAAAAAATGACAGTTTTCAGCTTATTTTATGCATTTGGGATTAAGGAGGAAATGAAAGCAAGATTACATGAAGGTGGGAGAAAGCACAGAATGAAGGGATTACGTTAAGAGACAGTCAGTCAGTAAGATTGTGGGTGTTCTTGAGGGTGTTCATGCTTTCGAAGGAGCAGAGTTAAAATGTTTCAAAAGTGTGTTAACCTAGGTGTGCATACACAATGGACCTCCATTGTCATATGTCTAGGGTATGACTACCCACTATGACCTTCCCAGTTAGAAATGTAAAATCAGGTCACCCTGTGATGTTATTTTTTATAGAACCCCTTTTTAGTCCACAATGTCAAACTAAATAATGTGGCAGTGTAAACAAAAGTTCCACAGGACTCTTCTGAGGAATAAAAAAGAGCTTTATTCTGATATGAAATGCAAATCAGAGAATACAGCCTTCGGCATAAACTGAACACAGGCTCTAAGATGAGAAGAATGAAGCAAAGGTTTAAAAGATGAGAGTTGTAGGGAGTTGCTGATCAAAAGGATGGGTTGCTAGGAAAACAAGACCATGAACTCACAGCATTAATTTTCTGGTTGGTGGGAGCAACTGGATTTCCAGGGGTCTGATAACACAGTGGACAGTAAGTGGGATTGTGAGATAAGAATAATGGGTAGTTTCCAGCAGGTAGAATGATGGGATATGGTCACAAGTTGCAGTCATAATGTCAGTGACAAATGCACCAGATATTAGACCATACTCCCTGAGTTTTGCCTAAGAAAGAATTTAGAGGCAAGCCTTAAATACAAGAAAAATTTTATTTAGAAAGTTACAGAGGCAAACAGGTAAATTGTGGAAGTAGTGAGTCAACTGAGCCCAGGAAAAAAGTTACAGAAGCAAAAGAAGGGCACTTGGAGCTTAGGGGGAAGAAAGCAGAGGTATGTGCCCTAATGGAAGAAAGGGGAAAGAAAGGCATGGGCATGTGAGGGAGAGGGAGAGGGAGAGGGAGAGGGAGAGGGAGAGGGAGAGGGAGAATATGAGCACACTAAGGAAAGAAGGGGGTGGAGAAGGGCACTGGGCATGCTGGAGAGAGTTTGGTCTTGGTGCTTTGTATTAAGAACTTTTATCTAGAGGTCCCAGGGAAGAATCTCAGTAGACTATCCATCAGCTTCCAGGTGTGTCCTTTTGGGGTCATGCTCTCTACTGATTGGTTAGTGCCAGGGCAGGGGGTCATTAGTCAATGCAGCTGGTCCTGTTGTCAGCCATGACTTTGCCTCTCATTACTGCTTCTCTGGGCCTAGAGCTGAAACACAGCTGAGGCCTAGAGGTTATCTCTCGGGCTTAGTGCAAGAGAGTCATAGGAAGCTATTCTCCAGCCCCCTTGTTTTTCCTCTCAGGGGGTCTACTGCCTGACTAGGGACATGTGAGGGGAGGAGAGGTCGGGGAGGGTCTGAACCCCATGATCTGCAATATTCTGTGGGAGAAAAGGCACCCTGGGAGCAAGGTTCCACCTCACCATTGCCCATTGCTAGGCACTCGGGCTTCCACCCGGGGGGGCTGTAACTGGTCTGTCGCTCCTGCTCTGCTCGTACCTGTCTCACTGCTCATTAAATCAATAAGACATGGTTAGCAAAGGGGGTTCCTCAAGCAGGGGCAACACCTCAATTTCTCTTGGAGTCTGAAACATAACCTAGTAATACAGGATTTGTGGTGAAATGGAGTACGCAAAGATGCAGTTTCTCAGGTACGTGGAGTTTAAACTGCAAAATGGCGCCCAGCCAGTGTGGCTCAGTGGTTGAGTGTCGACCCTGCACCAAGAGGTTGCCAATTTGATTCCTGGTCAGGGCACATGCCCAGGTTGTGGGCCTGATCCCCAGTGGGAGGGGGCATTCAGGAGGTGGCCAGTTGATGTTCTCTCTCATCAATGTTTCTACCTCTCTCCCCCTCTCCCTTCCTCTCTCTCTAAAATCAATAAAGAAAAAAAATTTTTTTAAATAAAATAAAAATTAAACTGCAAAATGACTTAATCCTTAGAGTAAGAACAGATACCTCATTGCAGAAGTGTCAGAAAATTTTCAGTCATAAACTGATAGTAGAATCCTCAGCAGCTAGTGTGGGATTGAAATAGGTTAAGGATAGTTAGTCTCCTATATTCTTTCTGGTGGTCTTCTAGGCACCTCTTCTGTTCCTGTTCACTGAATTCTGAATTCTACTGACTGGGTTTTTACCTGTCCACAGTGTTTTCTGACTTACCCCAAATGAATATACAATGATGTCATCTATGAATTTTTTTAAGACTCCAGAATGTGATTGATTTATTGATTTGGAATAATAAAAATATTGACTTGAAAAGATTTATTTGGCAAGATTCTCAATGCTCTAAAAAATATTCTGCATTTGGTTTAAATAAATTTCAGTTATACGGCAATCATTGTGTAGAGTCCTATTCAAATTGCTTTAGATGAGATTTTATATCCTGGTTTCTATAAAGCTTGCTATAAAATAAACTATACTTTGTAAAAAGACTATTACAAAATTAAATTGTGTATGTTTTGGTATTTTTGGGGATGCCCTTTTGAATGTCACCTCACTTGCCCTAATCTTGATTTCATAGGAAACAACAGAGCTCAATTATTTATTCTCTCACCCCCTGAGCCACACCCTGGCCTAAGGATAGCTTAAGGAAAAGATGGTGACCTGGGGTCTTTACATTCCAGTGGTAAAATTAGAAATTGATCAAATTGTGATGCAAATAAATGTAAGTCATGGCCATGAGTCAGTGCTACAGAAGTAAATTACTTCTAGTAAGGAGATACAAAAGGGGCCCCTCCGCTAAAATCTTTAATGTGAATAGGAGTTGACCAGATTATGAGTAAAGGGAAAAAATATTTTCTTTGGCAGAGTGGACAGTATATGTTGCTGTCCTTTAGTGTTCAAACAGATGAGGGTAGAGAAAGCTGCAGAGGGGAGCTGAGGTCACAGGACAGGTGGCTGGTAAGGATTTTGTATTTTATTCTAAGTCTAAGCAGAAGCCTGTCATCTGTTTTAAACAGTGAGTCACATTATTTGATTCCTGCCCAGAAATCCTCGAATTTCCCATTTAGGTCCAGAGCTAAATCTAATTAACTTTAATAGAGCTAGATTGCTTTCACATTTCCTCCGATAAATGAAGGTACTGAAATTTAAGTTACAATTTTTATCTCCTGAGTTTTGTCTTAAATTTTTCCATCTAATTTCTTATAAGGTCATTTTCTGAAATGAGTTTAAAATTATTTTCAGAGCTCCAAATGCCCAATTAAAAATAATAAAAATTAAAAAACGACCTTTGTGCACAAATCATGTAGCTTTCAGGACAAATTTTATATATAAAAGAAAAATGTCAACAAAATAGAGGTTAGTGATACCTTGTCATTAAAAGATAGTTATAAATCCGGGTGCTGAGGGCACAATGGGAACACTGCGTGGGCCCTGAGGAAGTTGCTCCTGCAACAGCCTTTCCCTAGGCAGACCCCGGGGAGAGATTCCCCCCGTCCGTGGTCAGCGAGAGTCACAGGCTTGCCCTTCCCCATTGCCAGTGAGAGTGGGGTCCTTGGGGCACCAATAGAATAAGCATTTCGAAGGCCCCCAAGGGTTTTATTTTTGTGAACGTATATCCCTTGGTTTACAAAGTCGCTTTCCCCTTAAACCAGTCCTAGAAGAGGGGCAGCTGGGGATTCAGCAGAGCTGAAAGCAAAGCCAGTGTCCAAAGTGTCCTTTCCACGGGGGAGCTGCGTCCCCTGTCGCATCAGACGAGCTGCAGTCCTTTAGTGCATTGTGTCGGGGTGCACTGGCTGTGAGCCGTGCGGGTGACTGCAGGAGCACGAGAGCCCCGCCATCCAGGAGTCGGCAGCAAGGGAGCAAGAGAACCAAGAGAGCCGAGAGGACAGGACCCCTTGTTCAAGAGTTCAAACATGAGGTCTTCGTGTGCTTGCAGTGACCTCACCTGTTCTGGCCACTGACTTGCTCACAGGTGTGACTGACAGGACAGCTTCTTCCCACATCACCTAGACCTTACTGGGCATGCGTCCACTATCCAGTCCCTTCCCCCACTGATCTGTGGGGAACAGAACTGGAGAAAGTTAAACTGCAGCTACCTGGCAAAGCTCTGCCTATATTATCTGACCTTCTCTTGCTCCTTTCTTGTTAATTATAGCCAGGTTATTACAATGGTATCATTACCATGGTTACTTGCATTAAGAATCTGAACACTAAGGAAATCTTTGGATTCAACAATTCAGGGAGAGAAAACCTGTAACCCTGGTACATGCCTTTGACCAGGAATGGAACCTATGCCCCTTTAGTACGCCGGTCTACACTCTAACCACTGAGCTACACTGGCCAGGGAAAAGTCACTTGTTATTAATTATTAGGTGCCACAGTGAAATTCTAAACAGGTAGATAAGTTTCCTGGGAGCGCTATATACTTAGTAAAATACTCCACACATTTATTTAAATTCTATCTATTATTCTTAACATACTAATTGTAGCTTGCACAGTTCCTAACTAAACTCTGCATTTTCATCTTTTCAGATAAAATATATGATTTTCTTTTTCCAGGGGGGAGCAGAGCATAACATTCCAGTTGTCATTTCAAAAATTTCCAAGGATCAAAGAGGTAAAGTGTTAAGAGAATTGTGCAGTATCCATTCCTTTATAAGCTGTTGTTATTGAAGAATAAGATGATATCTAAGAATTATAAATTAGTATGCCATGGACTAGCTCCAGCTTCTCCAGGACCAGGCCGTCAGTGATCGAGTCTGATTCCTGAGCCTATGCCTTTATTGTTCCTGAGAACTTCTCTCAAAGAAGAACAAGAATGGGAAAAAGAGAGGATACGACTGTATATGAATTGTGGGGTGCATAAGTTTTCAATTGTTTTGTTAAACAAACATAAAAACAAATAAATGTAATTATAACAAGTCATCTGAAGCATAAGACATTTTAGATATATTACTTACAATTCTCATGTGCAATTTAACTCAATTAAACAACTGACGTGACTGAACTGTATAAGATAATCTAATGTTTAAAAAGAAAGTTGGAGCTGATTCAATGGCTAATGGATTGAATGTCTAGACCTAATGTTTTTTATAGATACCTTAAAATTGTAAGTCATGATAAAATTTAGTCATCCATCCAGAAGAGTGACTATTTCTTAACAACTATAAAATCTTAAATGAGCCCTGGCCAGTTTGGCTCAGCGGTTGGAGCGTCGACCTGTGGTCCAGAGAGACCCAGGTTCGGTTCCCGCAAAGGGCACATGCCTCTGTTGAAGTTTGTCCCAGGCCCTGGATGGTCGTGCGGGTGGCGACCACTCAATGTGTCCCTTTCACGTCGATGTTTCTCTCTCTCCCTCTCCTTCCCACTCTATCTGAACAGAAAATGGGAAAATGTCCTCGGGTGAGGATAAAAAAAAGAAATCTGAGATGGTAGAACTAAATAGAAATATCTCAGCTTGTGTTTCAGCATTTGGAATGAATTATATGATTACTTCTGTATTTCCATTATGCATCTTTTAAGATAATCTCCATATAAAACATTTATTTTTTTTCCTTTTATCAGATTTTACTTTAATTAAAAAGCACTCATTTATATGAATAAAGTAGTTAATGCATAATCAATTGTCCTTTTCCATTCCTAGCGGAACTTTCAGGACTACTGTTTATCGGGGATGCAATTCTACAGGTATACATTCCAACCTTATTGTTTTATGTCAATAGAATCATAAAGTCAATTGTAACATGCCATATAAAACTGTGCTTGTCTTTTTATTGCAGATAAATGGAATTAATGTGAAAAAATGCAGACATGAAGAAGTGGTGAGTTTTCTTTACTTTGCCTTTACATCATGATTTTCCCACTGTCTAGATGAAGATTTAGTACATGGCTAAAAACTGCTCATTGTATTCATTAGAAATATCTGACATTGGTCCAATGTGCTATCAGATGTACAAAAGATCTCTTGATCTCTTAATTGGTGTGTTTTTGTTTGTTTGTTTGTTTTCATATTTGAAACAGATCAGGGAGTACTGCCCAGGATAAAATGTAATTCAAAGATATGCTTGAAGGTCATTTGATATGTTTTTCCTCTTTTTTAATAATGCCTACCAATTAATGTCCACTAAGTATATCTCTACATGAAATACATCTCTAAATTTTTGAAAATGTTTAAAAGCTTATAAACAATAAAATGTATACTAGTAAAATCTCATATAGTAGCAGGCCAATTGGATGATCATATCAAGACTGTGTGTGTGTCTGAGAGAGAGAGAGAGAGAGAGAGAGAGAGAGAGAGGATTTCAAGGAGCTTAATCTCAAGGCAAACAGGTTTCACACCAGGCAGAATAGTCATCAAATTTTACTGTGGTATTTGGTTGGATTTTGATAAACATGCAGGTCTGAAACCCTGACCTCAGATATTCTAATCCAGTCAGTTGAGGTTGGACCAGGAATTAGGATTTTAAACGATCAGCCCAAGTGGTCCCATTGTAGGTGCTTCTGAACTACACTTTGGGAGAAGCCGGGAGCTTCCGCTGGACAGTGAGGTGACATCCACATTATACAGAAAGGAATAGGACAATGGTAGGGACTTTGGGAATCGTTTTCCACGGTTGATTAAATAACATTAATGAACTTTTGATGAATTTCTTGTGTCTGTTCACAGGGGAAGGGTAGAGGAGAAATTGTGTTTAAAAGTTTATACTCAAGGGTTGAACAAACTGGAAAATGCTGTAAGCCGATTGCTTCTCACAGCTCTCATTCATTTGCTTTTTGAATACATTCTCCTCTGCTAACAGCTATTCAGAAAACCCTCTGATACATTTACATATTTCAAACCACAGTGAGACAAAGTGTCTGTAAAAAGCCACAGTCCTACAGCTGGTGACATTAGAGAGGGTCCTTGATTATGAGCACATGGAATAGGGTTGTTAGTGTTTACCACCATCTGTCACTTGTCTCTGTCTTCTTAAAAAACTGACTTGCTGCCCTGGCCGGTTAGGCTCAGCGCTTAGAGTGTCGGCCCATGGACCAAAGAGTCACGGGTTCGATTCTGGTTAAGGCCACGTACCTTGGTTTGGGTTCATCCCCGGGCCTGGTCGTGATCATGCTGGAGGCAACCAGTCGATGTGTCCCTCTCACATCGATGTTTCTCTCTCTCTCCCTCCTTCCCTCCCACTCTATCTGAAGATTAATAGAAAAATATCCTAGGGTGAGGAGAAAAAATAAAATCTGACTTGGGCCACTCCTAATGCCATCTGTGGTGGACATTAGGTAAAATATAAATATGTCCAGTCTCTAGTTTCCTAAAAGTATACACAGAGAAAAGCAGTGTTTTAGACAAAGAGCACTCTGTACATTCATGTCCATTAGAGAGGAAGGGAGAAGGAGAGAGAGAGAGAGATATCAATGAACAAAAACATGGATTGGCCACCTCCTGCATGCCCTGCACTGGGATTTGGCCCACAACCTGGGCATGTGTTCTCACCGGGAATTGAACAGGCAACCTCTTGGTTCTTGGGTCGACACTCAACCACTGAGCCACACTGGCCGGGCAATTCAAGTCCATTTTAAATATTGCCATTTCAGCAAAGGATTTTAACTTTAGTCTTTTTTCCCGGAAGTACAAAGTGATTTCAAACTCATTATACAGGGAGCAAAAACACATGCATTCTCTTTGAGAACCATGTGTTGTTAGATGGAATAGTTTCAGTAATCTACCCTCAGAGACAGCATGTCTAAGACAAACAGTGATGGACCTTGGATTAAACAGATTAGTGTGGCACCAAAGGCTAGAACGCACCAATAATGCCACTTGGTAAGGGTATTCACTCTCTTCAAGGAAAAGGAATTTAGAATTGCATTGCAAATTATATGGGGCCCTTCACAATACACTTTTATTTTTAAGACTCTTAACTTTATCAGCTTTGAAATACAGTTGCTAATATTCTTATTTAATTTCAGCCTTTCACTTGCCAACAGTGATTAGATGCCTTTGTCCTCTCTATTAATTACATGAACAGATAGACTTAGTATGCCTCAGTGGGACTAAGATGTTAATTAAATGTTTCAGAATGGATTTTCATGGACAGAAAAAGCACAAGAATCTCAGAGGATGTAGATGGTTTTAAAATAGCATGCTGATATGCCACATTTCTTAGTTCAAGTCAGTAATTCACATAAAGTTTCAAATTCAGAAACAAATTGCGTGGGCATGATGATGTATTGTTTGAGCATGTTACTTTTCTTCTGTTAATCTATACTATTTATTGATGTCGATACAAATTCTACATCGGGCTCTGATCAGCTTCACACTTTTCATTTTATTCTTTCCATCGCCATGTACCCCCTCGGTGCTCTGTTCCGCCTGCACCCCCTTCCCCTCCCCACCAGTCACCACACTGTTGTCCATGTCCGTGATGATCAGCTTCAGACGCTTTCAACAGTATAGTTATTACTTTTATACTGAAGTTTAAGGTTGAAGTTTTTTAGAAGGGGGATCCCATATTGTCTATTCTGGGAGCTCAATAGAACTGTTGATGGAATTCTTGATCCAAATGCCTAGAGTTAGGTAATCAAAGCAGTTGCATCTGTATATTTCTGTCTGGGGTATAATGAGTCGGTTCTGGGCTTCGCCCACACCATACAAGACATTCTTCTTGCTAGAAAATTGCTGAGGAACAGAAGCTCTCAAAGTTTCCTCTTTAAGATAGACTAGAATTACTGCCAGATGTTGCTTTGCATGTGACCTGGTGGAAAGACAGCAGGAGACCGTGCACGGAGGCCTGTAACGCTCAGAAAAACTCACACACAAATCTCAGCTCTGACCACATACTAACATTGTAATTTCAGGCAAATAAACTTGCCTCTTCTGTCCATCTCTTAATCATCTGTAAAAATAAACTAATAACGATGTTTATAAGGATTGAATTAGTGTGATGTCTATAAAATCCCTAGCACAGTTCTGGCAACTTAGAAAAATTACACATTATTTTATGTGATTAAATAGTATCACATGCTGGCACTGTTTACCCACAGTGGCCACTCTGTGACTGCTGAACCATGTAATGTTGTGACCAGTGCTGGCCCCTGAGAGGTCATCCCACGGTAGAATGGGGACTCACAGCGAGGGTGCCCCGGAGCCCAAGCTCCTTCTAATACTTCCCATCAGGCAGCAACGCCGCACCCACGACTGGTCATTTGAAAAATGAGGGTGCCTTGCTCATTCAGCAGAGTGTCTCTTCTTACTTTTGATATAAATGTGTTTTGTAGCCCCTGACTTGTGACCCCAAAATACCAAAAGTCCTGAATGTGCCAATTTTTTTTTTTTTTTAAGGAAATCTAAATGTATTGCCATTGCTGGAGTTAGCATTGTCCTTACTTTCTTTAACTTACCATTGAGCCCTAGGCACACTAGGTGGGTCATCTCTATTCTGTTTTTATCATTGTAAAATTGGCTTTCATTTTTAAAATAACTTTATTTCTCAATTATAGTTGATATACAAATTATATTAGTTTCAGGTGTACAACATAGTGATTAGACGTTTATATAACTTTCAAAGTGATCCCACCAATAACTATAGTACCCATCTGACGCCACACATAGTTATTAATGTATGATTGACTGTATTCTGCGCTGTACTTTACATCCCTGTGACTGTTTTTATAACTGGCAATTTGAAAATCTTAATCCCTTCTCCCTAGCTCCATCCCATCTGACAATTATCAAAATGTTCTCTTTATCTCTGAGTTTGTTTATTTTGTGTTGTAGATTCCATGTATAAGTGAAATCAAATGGTATTTGTTTTTCTCCATTTGACTCATTTTATTGAGCATCATATCCTTTAGATTCATCTATATTGTTGCAAATGGCATGGTTTCATTCTTTTCTTTGGCTGAGTATTATGCCATTGGATGTAAGTTTCACCTCTTCTTTTTTTTTTATCCTCACCGGAGGACATTTTTTCATTTCTTATTCAGATAGGGCAGGAGGGAAAGAGAGGAAGAGACAGAGAGAGAGAAACATTTACCTGAAAGGGACACATCGAGTGGCTGCCACCCGCACGACCCAACCAGGGCCGGGGACAAACTGCAGCAGAGGTACGTGCCCTTAGCGGGATCTGAACCCGGGTCTCTCTGGACCATAGGCCGACGCTCTAACTGCTGAGCCAAACTGGCCAGGGCTCACCTCTTCTTTATCCATTTGTTTATTGATAGACACTTCAGTTGCTTCCATATCTTGGCTTTTGTACATAATGCTGCAATAGAAATAATGCTGCATACATCTTTTTGAATTAATGTTTTGAGTTTCTTTAGATAAATACCCACAAGTGGAATCTCTGGGTCATTCTGTCACTTGTTACGTAGCCTTTGCTTAAAGTCTATTTTGTTCTGATAAAAGTACAGATACCCCATATTTTTTTGGTTTCAATTTACATAAAATGTCTTTTCCACCCTTTTACTTTCAGTCTGTGTGTCTTTTGATCTGAAGTTGGAATGTTGTAGACAGAATATATATGGGTCTCATTTTCTTCTTCATTTAGTCACCCTCTGCTTTTTTTAAAATTAGAGCATTTAATCCATTTACATTTAAAGTAATTGTTGATAGGTGTGGAATTATTGCTGTTTTATTATTCATATCTTTTATCTGTTTTTTTCTTCTTCATTTTCAATAAATCCCTTTAACATTTCTTATAATATTGGCTTGGTGGTGCTGAATACCTTTAGCTTTTTCTTGTCTGGGAAGTTCTTTATCTCCTCTTCAATTCTAAATAATAGACTTGCTGGGTAGAGTAATTTTGGTTGTGGGTCCTTGCTTTTC